GACGAGGCAACAGCATCTCTCTCGCGCGCAAACAATGTGTTCAGAACATCCCTGTACGGTGTGCAATCGCGGCAACATGAGCGACGAAACGAAACGGATCTTACGCGAGATGCCCTACAACCGACCTTCTGCGAGCAGCTCACGCGCCACCGTCCGCGCAGTGCAACCCGTTTTCCCACGCGCCGCTCGAGAGCAACCGTGCGCGCTGATGTCAAACAAATCCCCAAAGAGGCCTGCAACTCCGACGAAAACTGGCGTGCCGCGCTCCGCATCTCCCGCGCAACTCCCGAGAACGCCGCGCCGCGACGCCCGGAATGCGTCCTGGACGCTGGACGAGCCCGCGCGTGCACGACAACAAGTGGATTCGCTCGAGCGCCTGCAGCACCCCCGAAGTCAAGGGGGGGCGAACTGGGTCTCGCGTGCCAAATTCGCGGCTGTCTGGCTCGCTCGGCCCCCTCCTCGTACTAACTCGACTGTTCTTGCAGGCCTCCCAGATGTGGTCCGAGCGGATGGGGTCGGAAGATCGCGCCGCATCGCCGATGCATCGGCGATGCGCGGGCGACTTCGGCAATGTATCGGCGCCGTCGGCGCGGAGAAACTCTGGCTCAGCATCGAGCCGCATCGCCAAAGTATCGGCGATGCGGTGCGATCCTCCGACCTCTCTACAGGTCAACCCGTATGATATGGACGCGCGGTAAGGATGCAAGGGCCTTGGAGGGCCATGCTGAAATGTTTCGAACGAGGCTGGCCAGCGAAAGCGGCCAAAGGTGGGCCGAAGGGGAACGATGCAAGGGTGGCCTTGGAGAGTCGCTCGTTCTTACTATGCGGGTGCGCCAGCCAGTGCTGGAGGGACCCCTGTGGGCCCGCACCGAAGGTCACCCCGGCGAAGGGCCACTCTTACCCAGACATCCCCCGATCTGACTGTTCCAATCTGCGGTCCCAGGGCTCCCGACCCCTTCCCTGGGGGCAGTTTTGCGCCCAGGATCCGTTTTGGATGGTCCCGGGGCCCGACGACTGGCCCTGGAGTCCGAAATCCAGGACAAGCGCCCAGGAGCGAAAAACTCCGAACGTCGGAGAGCTGGGTCCCTCGCGCGTGCGCATCCCCACACCCACTCTCGGCTACACGCAAGAGTGACAGATGAGCCTCTGGTTTGGTGCGCGGGCTAAGGCGGCGCAGGGTGGCCCCATCCAAGCGCGAGAGCAGCCGCTAGCGCATCGCGCTCCGCGATCAGCGGGGACCCTGTATGAGCCCGCACCAAAGGTTACTCCAGCGAAGGGTCGCTCTTACGTGTAGTCGACGCACTCCATGCCTTCCGACTCCTCGGCGTGAGGGGCAAGTCTGGAGGTAGGAACGGAATGTGGCATAAAGGGGTGTGGTGTCAATGCTGACTTTGGCGAGATCATCTACCGCAGACAACATCTCCAATTTGCATGATTTAGCACCGCACCCCTTTATGCCACACCCCTTCCCTACCTCCAGAACAACGGGAGCCCAGCAGAGATGGGTCGTGTGCGGCGCTGGGGGCGTCCCCTTGCCTGAAGGCCCCAGGGGCCTAGAGAAGACCCCAGAAGCCCGAAAGCGGCCTAAACGTCGACGCGCCCCTTTCCTCCAATCCCCCTCCTCCTCATCCCTATCCTTCCCTGAGATCCGACATCGCAAAACAAAAAGACTCATCATGCCTGGTGCAGCCTGGTCAGAACCATCGGCCCCATCGTTCTGCAACATTCTCGAGCTGGATCGATCCGTGAAGATCCCAGTGACCCAGAACCAGGCAAAAACGCTGTGCCAGAAATGAGACGCCCCGATCTCAGGATCCTCCTCGTCCTCCTCCTCCTCCTCCTGCTCCTCCTCTTCCTGCTCCTCCTCCTCCTCCTGCTGCTCCTCTTCTTAATCATCATAAGAGTCCTCCTCATCCTCATCCTCATCCTCATCATCATCAGCAGCAGCATCAGCATCAGCATCATCATCATCATCATCATCATCATCATCGTCGTCGTCGTCGTCGTCATCATCATAACCAGCAGCATCAGATGATCATCATCATCATCATCATCATCATCAGCCTCATCATCATCAGCATCAGCCTCATCATCATCAGCATCAGCAGCATCACCATGATCATCCTTAGCAGCATCATCACCATAAATCACCATCATCAGCATCATCATCATCACCAGCATTATCAACATCATCATCAGCAGCATCAGCAGCAGCAGCAGCAACATCATCAGCATTATCATCCACAACACCGTCAGCATCATCATTGCCGTCCTCGTCAGCATTGTCATCAACATCATGAGCATCATTAGCATCATCAGCATTACCATCCTCAACGTTACCATCAGCATCATCATGACCAGCATTATCATCATCAACATCCTCATCAGCATCATCATCATCGTCATCGGCATCGCCATCGTCATCGCCATCGTCATCGCCATCGTCATCGTCATCAGCATCATAATCACCACCACCACCACCATCATCATCATCATCGTCGTCGCCATCGTCCTTGTCAACATCGTCATTAGCATCCTCGTCAGCATCAACATCAGCACCAGCAGCAGCAGAATGTTCATCATCGTCGTCATCATTAGCATTATCCTCATCATCATCATCAGCACCATCATCATCAGCATCATCAGCATCATCAGAATCGTCAGCATCATCATACTCATCATCTTCATCGCCATCGCCATCATCCTCATGATCAGCATCGTCATCATCATCCGCAGCAGCATCCTTATCCTCAGCCTCAGCATCACCACCAGCAACACCAGCAACACCACATCGTCATCGTCGTCAGCATCAACACGAACATCATCAGCATCAGTAGCTGCATCAAAAGCAGCAGCACCATCGTGAGCAGCATCAGCACCATCAGCATCAATAACATACTCATCATCATCATCAGCAGCAGCAGCATCAGCATCAGCATCGTCGTCAGCATAACCATCATCGTCAACATCACTCGCCATCATCGTCAGCATCAGAATATGTATCGACGTCCGTAAGATTATACTCCTTATCGTCATCACCAGCATCATCATCAGCATCATCAGCAGCAGCATCATCAGCATCGTCATCAGCAGCATCAGCGTCATCGGCATCATCACCACGACGATCATCAAAAAACTAGCATCCTCACAATCAACACCATGACTATCAGCAGCAGCGCCGTCATCATCACCCTCATCAACAGCACCGTTATCAGCAGCATCCTGATCCTTCTCATCATCCGGTTCCTCACCTTACTGCTGCTCATCATCATCATCATCATCATCATCATCATCATCATCATCATCATCATCATCATCATCATCATCAGCGTCATCACCCTGCTGATCACGATCCCCCTCCTCCTCGTCCTCCTCCTCTTGCGTCTCCCCCCATCCTCATCATTACCATCTCCCGTCGACGCCACCCCATGCACCTCATCCCTCTTCTCCTCCTTCTCCTCCTCATCATCATCAGCAGCATCATGATCATCAGCATCACCATCAGCATCATCATCTGATTCAGCATCATCATCTTTATCAGCATCATCATCATCATCATCATCATCATCATCAGCATCAGCATCAGCATCATCATCATCCTCATCCTCATCCTCATCCTCATCATTGTCATCACGATCATCATCACCACCAACTTCGTATGAGTACTATGATTCTCACCCTCCTCATCCGCTTCGTTACCATCCCCATCTTCATCATTACCCTCTCCCTCCTACAGCACCCTATCACCCTCCCCCTCCTCCTCATCCTGCTGCTCGTCCTCCTCCTCCTCCTTCTCCCCCTCCTCCGCAGCAGCAGCATCATCCTCATCCCGTATCCTCCTCCTCCTCCTCCTCCTCCTCCTCCTCCTCCTCCCGCTCCTACTCCTCCTCCTCCTCCTCCTCCTCCTCCTCCTCTTGATCTCGTCCTCCTCCTCCTCATCCTCCTCCTCCTCATACTGCGCCTCCTCCTCCAACTCCGCATCTCACAATCACCACCACCCCCATCGTCATCATCAACGTCATCGCCATCAACACCATCAAAAAATCATCATCACCCGCATCAGTATCGTCAACAGCAGCATCACCAACAGCATCATCAACAGCATCAGCATCATCATTGCTATCATCATATTCATCAGCATCATCAGCATCATCAGCATCATCATCATCAGCATCAGCATCGGCATCCTCGTCATCATCAGCATCACCGCCATAATCAGCATCATCACCATCATCAACAGCATATTCATCAACATCATCATCATCATCATCATCACCAAAGCATCAGCATCAGCAGTATCAGCCGTATCAGCAGCAGCATCAGCATCCTCATCAGCATCAGCATCGGCATCAGCATGAGCATCAGCATCATCATCGATATCAGCAGCATCAGCACCATCATCAGCATCAGCATCAGCGTCAGCATCATCCTCTTCATCATCAGTATCCTCATCAGCGTCAACAGTATCATCGTCAGCGTATCATCACTACTATCAGCATGGTCATCACCATCATCAACCCCACCACCACCACCACCGTCATCATTATCACCATCACCGTCGTCAGCATAACCAGCAGCAGCAGCATCCACATCAACATCATCAGCAGCAGCATGATCATCAGCATCAGCATCAGCATCAGCATCATCATCATCATCATCAACAGCATTATCATAACCAGCATCACCATCACCAGCATCATCAGCATCACCAGCATCATCTTCACCAGCATCACCAGCATCACCATCACCAGCATCATCAGCCTTACCAGCATCATCATAGTCATCATCATCATCATCATCATCATCAGCATCATCATCATCATCATCAACATCAACATCATCATCATCAGCATCATCAGCAGCATCAGCCGCATCCTCATCAGCAGCACCAGCACCATCACCATCGGCATCATCAGCATCAACAGCAACACCACCATCGTTCATCATCATCTCCAGCATCCGCTTTAACACCATCATCATGCTGGTCCTCCCCGCGCGGACCGATCCGGCCGGATCTGCCCCACGATCTTGCGCATGTCTGGCTCGAAACCCATGTCGAGCATGCGATCCGCCTGTTGGCCCAGCAGCAGCGGGCGGGGGCTGACGGAGCCCCACCCGCCGAGGCGGGGACGTG